CCCCAGTGTTAGAGATCATACCCCCCCCCAGTGTTAGAGATCATACCCAGGGCCTCACATATGCTAGGCAAATTCTTTTTATATTAGGAATTTTAGCCCTTTATCTGTCATAAGTTTGCAAATATTTTTGTGCAGTTCATTTGCTTTTTACTTTGTTCATGGTGTTTTTGCCAAAAATAGTTGATATTTTGTTTATGTAGTCTAATTAGCCTTTTATTGCCTCATTATTGGATGATGTTAAAAATGCCTTTCTCTGCTTCTAAATTACAGAAATATTTTGGAATACTTTTTTGGAAGATAGTTTGGCTATGTGTATCAAAAAATCTCAAAACCCTCAATCTGTACCCTCAATAATTCTAATTCTAGGAAAATATTTATTCTTCGGATAAATATAAAATGTAATACATAAGAGGATATGGATCTCAGCATTCTTTGTAATAGTGAAAAATTAGAAACAACATAAATGCATAAATGCCCACCCCACCAGTGGAGAACTGGTTAGATTAGTTGTTTGTTATCAATATATTATCCCAGTGATTTCTTTTTATGATTTTTCTCCCTTTTTTAAAAAATATTTTAATTTTGAGGGTCTCACCAAATTACTGAGGGACTTGCTGATTTGCTGAGGCTGCCCTTTAACTTGCCATCCTCCTGTCTCAGCCTCCTGAGTCGATGCACCCAGCTACTTTTTATGATATTTTCAAGGTCCCTTTTACTAATTGCTAGTGAAATATAGATATGTAGATACTGTATTTACACATATGGTTTCAAGAAATAAAAATAATGATCTACTATAATAAGGGACAAAGTAAAAAAGATAACAAAGTAAGGCAACTTACTATATATCTGAATATTTTTAGACATAATGAAAGACAACAACATGAGTAGGTAGTCAGGTACCCATATGTTGAATCACTGAGCATCTTACACTACGAATGAAGAATGATTCAGGTGTATTAGTGAATAAGAAATAGCATAAGCCTGAATAACTCCTGGTAAGATTTTGAACAAAACAATAATGTACACACACAGCATATGTTTTATGTATATAATATTTTGCTTTATATGTAAAATGGAATTAGGTTCTAGGTCATCTCTAAGTATGAGATTTCTCATCTACTTGAATGGTGGCACATTTGAAAGTTAAGCAGGATGTAGGTCAGTATTTTCCTAGTGTAGGAATGTCATAAGCACTGCAGGATATCTAGAATCCTAGTTTCTTGTCTTCAAAATGCCAGTAGTGCTCCTTAGGGATCTGGGAACCGAAAAAAAGCACCTCCTCAGATTTCTAAAATGTCTTCTTAAGGGGTAGTTGAGAATATCAGTTTAGATAATTGATACATTAGAATATCATTCATCCATTAAAGAGGACAAAGGGAGAAGAAAAACCAAGAAGATCTATGTGTACTATCATTAAAAAAATGACTGCAAGTGTATTGTTAAGATGGGGCTGGGGATGTGGCTCAAGCGGTAGTGCGCTCACCTGGCATGCGTGCGGCCCGGGTTCAATCCTCAGCACCACATACAAACAAAGATGTTGCGTCCTCCGAGAACTAAAAAATAAATATTAAAAAATTCTCTCTCTCTCTCTCTCTCTCTCTCTCTAAAAAAAAGTGTATTGTTAAGAGAAAAAAAACAGGCAAAGCATGATTAGTATTCCACTTTTGTGAAAATAAATATGTAGATACATGTAAGTAGAACAAAGTTCAGAGAAATATTTTTCAAAATGTTAATAGTGGATGACAATTCATACTTTGTGTCATATTTTAAGATGGATTGCTGTTACAGAATAATTCTTGAAATAAGGGCTTAAAAACTCTACTTTGGTTAGTAGCTAATCTTTTTTTCTTAGGAAAGTTTGAAGAAAGAAAACCTTAAATATTAAGATAGTAGATTGCTGGTTATGGTAGTTCATACCTGTAGTCTCTGCTACTCTGGAGGCTGAGGCAAAGGAATTGCTTGAGCCTAGTAGTTCAGGGCCAGCCTGGGCAATGTAGTGAGACCCCCGCCCCTTTTGTTGTTTTATTTTTTAATTAAAAAAATTTTTTTTGATACTGAGGATTAAACCCAGGGGTGTTTTACCACTGAGCTACATCCCCAATCCTTTTTTTTTTAAATATTTTTTTCAGTTGTAAATATGGACACAATACCTTTTGTTTTTATGTGGTACTGAGACTCGATCCCAGTGCCTCACAGTGCTAGGCAAGTGCTATACTTGAGCTACAACCCCCATACTCCATCCATTTTATTTTTATTTTGAGATGGGGCCTTATTAAGTTCCTGAAGCTGGCCTCGAATTTGCAGTCATTCTGCCTCAGCCTCCAGAGTAGCTGGGATTAAGGCATGTGCTATCTTGCTTAGCCCTCCCTTAAAAAAAAAAAAAAAAAACAAAGGAAGTGAGAGAAGGTAATTTGGTAAAAATTTGCATCTAGCACTTAATATAAAATAATTTTGTTTTTCCATGTTATAATTTAAAATCAGTAAAATGGGAGAAATTGAGTAGTTGATATTCCATGTAACTAATTTGAAACTACAACTAGGAGTATGTTTCTTTTGTCATTTTCCTTCATGTCTTCATTTAGAAATAAAAGAACAATATTCGCCACTTAGAGGAGAGCAAGGTGCCTTGAGGAATATTTCTTGGACTAAGGAAAATGCCATTAAAGAATTTAAGAAATCTTGGGCTGGGGTTGAGTGCTTGCCTAGCATGTGTGAGGCCCTGAGTTCAATTCTCAGCACCACATAAAAATAAATGAATAAAATAAATGTATTATGTTCATCTAAAATGACAAATATTTAAAAAAAAAAAAGTTTGAGAAATCTTGCCAAGACTGAAAAAAAAAAAAAATCTCTTCATCTACCATTAAGGTCTTTTTTCTTGTCTCCTGTGGTTGATCAGAACATAGTTTTGCTGGGTCGCCCAGATTCCAGAGAAGCAGAATTTGAGGCCACTGAGGACACATATGAGTGTTGAGGTCATACTCCTTGCCTTAATATTTTAGAGATACATTACTGTCATGGAAGTGGAAAAAAAGTTGGCTGTGCTCTGTGCTTACTACAGCAGAAAGGGAGGAAGCGTTCTTGAGTTTAAATATCAACTCATACGAAGTTTAAACCTCAACACGTACTTAAAGATTTTTGTCCTTCCTACTGTTAAAAGAACGGTAGAGTGTTTACTTATGTGCCTGTTACTTAGATTCAGCTGTTAACATTTTGTCAGATATGCTTTATCTGTAAGTATTGTGTAGGTATGTTCTTTTTCCCCTATGGATTTATGAGACTTTGTTTAAAATCTGTGTATAGGGCTGGGAATGTGGCTCAAGCGGTAACGCGCTCGCCTGGCATGCGTGCGGCCCGGGTTCAATCCTCAGCACCACATACAAACAAAGATGTTGTATCTGCCGAAAACTAAAAATAAATAAATAAATATTAAAAAATTCTCTCTCTCTCTTTAAAAAAAAAATAAAAATAAAAAAGTGAAATCTGTGTATACTTTTCTCCGAAGGGGGCCATGTCTACCTAACTATTGTTTGAAGCCATAGGTACACAAAGCTTCCCTAAAGTTAAAAAAGGAGGATACTTTTTTTGTTTTTGCTTGTTTGAAATGAGCTCATCTTGTCTCCCATGTACTTTTCAGCCCAGCTCACTTTCTATGTAGTCATTTGCAATTTTTTCATGTTTTTGCACTTGTGATATAATCATGAGGTGTTTTAAAGCTTGTGTATTTTCTTTTTCTTTGTTCTAGATGATCCGTCTGATAAGCCACCTTGCAGAGGCTGTTCTTCCTACCTTATGGAGCCTTATATTAAGTGTGCTGAATGTGGGCCACCTCCTTTTTTTCTCTGCTTGCAGGTAACTCACTAAGGAGAGGCTTGGCTGATTATGGATATAGTAATTCAGAGATTACTGTAGATTGCTTAGGATATACCTTATTATATCAACTCCTTCTAGTTAGTCTTTCAGACCAGATGGTTCAGGCAGACTGTTGAGTGTTCCACAAGGCATATCAGTCTAATGCTTAAAAGTTTTTCCAAGTAGATTAAAGTAATGAGATTAAAGGAATCAGAACTGGAGAATTGTTCCATTTGATGACACTGTTTATTGTCTTGTTGAAGACTGATCTCTGTAGAGGTGACAAGAGAACAAACTATTGTGTGGGTTGTAATGGTAGCAACAATATTAATTATAAGTGATTCCTGTGTGCCAGGCACTATTTTGAGTTTTTACATGAATTAACCCTTAAATCATCTCTAAAATCTTATGAAGTAAATAAATAAGTATCCTCGCTTAATAGATGAAACTCAGGCAAAGAGAAGTTAAGTAACTTGTTCAAGGAAATACCACGTTTTATCAGATCCAAAAACTTTTGATTTTAAAAAACATCCCAATTTCAGAAATACTAAAATGTAAAAATGGGTGATTAAAATTCTCATATACTTTAAATTACAAGGTGAATCCAAATTTTAGACTGTAAAATATGAAAAAAGAATTGCTAAAGTATGGTTAAGTACGGAGGCAGGGTTCAGATTTAGGCCATCTGATTTCAGGACTCATGCTCTGATTGAGGGAGAATCATACTATAAAAAAGCCTTTTTTCTCCATAAGGGCCACTGAAAAACGATAACTGTAAATATAACATCCTATTGTAGCTGCACAGAGGATTAAATTAACTTTCTTAAAAACTTCATCATAAGCTAGAGCACCCACAAACCATCTTCTATCCTTTAAGAAAGCATTTTTGGAAAGTAGATTTTTGGTAACTTAATTTTTCTTTCTTTACAGTGTTTCACTCGAGGATTTGAGTACAAGAAACATCAAAGTGATCATACTTATGAAATAATGGTAATGTTGAAGTTGCTGGGATTTTCCATTCATTTTTCAAGCATTAGATTGGGAATTAGTTCTCTTTAAATATCTTTTTCTTTTTTTCTCTTCTGAATTTGATAATCATTATTTAGTAAGTTTTTTAGGATTTTGTGAACCTACATTTTTTTTTTTTTTAATGTGTGGACCTGGGGATCAAATCCAGGGCCTCACACATGCTAGGCAAGTACTCTAAAAAACAAGTATTATTGTTATACTCAGATTTTTGTTTCAAACTTAGAAGGTGTTTAAAGGAGATACATTTCCGTACCCTGGCTTTTTAGGTTTGCTGATAAACATATAGTCAGTGTGTTGTCACTCTGTGCTAACGGCATTTGGGGGTGAATGTTAGGGATTGAACTCAGGAGTGCTTAACCACTGTCACTGGCCACATCCCCAGTCTTTTTTTTTTTTTCTCCAATTTTTTATTTTGAGATAGGGTCTTGCCAAGTTGCTTAGGGCCTTATAAGTTGCTGAGTCTGCCCTCGAATTTGTGATCTTCCTTCCTCAGCCTCCTAAGCCTCTGGGATACAGCAGTGAACCACCATGTCCAGCTTGCTAATGATATTTTTATGTGGTTCCTGTTGGTGATGGTGAAGTTCATGTCTAGCGCTCCATTCCTCTGCCTTGTGAAAATTAATTATCCTCTAAGAGTTACATCATAAATGAACACAGAGCAAATAAATTACTACTCTACATAAAAATGACATTGAAGAGGCAAATTGGTTTATAGGCCAGACTATGACTTTGGTCTGTTTGATTGATGTATTACCACCTTTAAAGAAAAAATGAGAATGCCGCTAAGTGCCCCCTCCAAACGCTGGCTGGGAGAATGGGTGGTTTAGTAAGCCAAAGTGAATACCCAGTCTAGTCAACAGGTATATATAACAGATACTTTTGTCAAAATAGTTTTGTAAGTTTCAGAGCATATTGAGCATCTAACTAAATCTCCAATTTCACCAAGCAGTTTTTGACACTTGGCTTTCTCTGTAGTTTTTCTTATGGAAATAATGCTGGTTGGCTTGAAAGTAATAATTTCACATTGTAGTTTAATTATTTAGCACTATGTTGCTGTAATAAATAACCAAAATTAAGTAGTTTAAGACTGCACAGATTTATTATCTCCCAGTTTTGTAAATCAGGAGACCATTAGGCACACCTGGTTTGCTACAGGTCTCATAAAATTGAAATCAAGGTGTTAGTGGCCTAAGCTTTCATTTGGACGCAAATTCGAGGCGCTAAGCAAATCAGTGAGACCTTGTCTCTAAATAAAACACAAAATAGGGCTGGGGATGTGGCTCAGTGGGCAAGGTGCCCCGGAGTTCAATCCTTGGTACCAAAAAATAAGAATGAGCCCATTTCTGGGCTCATTTAGTCTGTTGGCAGAATTTCATTGCATTAAGATAGGACTGATGCTACTGTTTGTTAATAGGCTGTTGCTCAGAGCTTATCAGCTTCTAGAGGCTGCTCACACTCCCTGGTTCCTGGCTCCCGGCTCCCTTTTGTCATGTTCTAAGCCATCAATTCTGAGAGTCCTGGAGGGTTACTGATGAAATGCTAGGAACCTCTGCCCTCCTGCTATCCTTCCTGAGCAGTATTTCTACCTCTTCTGCACCCCCCCCAACCACACTTTTTAAAAATTTAATTAATTAAACCTTTTAAGGGCTCATATAGACTACTTTGAGCCCATTTGGATAAACCAGGATAATCTCCCTACTTTTAAGATCAGCTGATTAATAAACTTAATTCAGTCTACACAGTCCCTTCACAGCAGTACTTAGTGTTTGAATAATCTTGGGAGCAGGAGAAACTACCACAGAATTCATAGTATTTTACCTCAGTCTCTTAAAAGTTTAGTATGAGCTGGGTGAAGTGGCACATACCTATAATCCCATTGGCTCAGGAGGGTGAGGCAGGAGGATCACAAGTTCAAAGCCAGCCTCAGCAAATGCAAGGTACTAAGCAAATCAGTGAGACCTTGTCTCTAAATAAAACACAATAGGGCTGGGGATGTGGCTCAGTGGGCATGTGCCCCGGAGTTCAATCCTTGGTTCCAAAAAATAAGAAAAAAGGGGCTGGGATTGTGGTCAGCGGTAGAGTGCTCATCTTGCACTCTCGGGACCCTGGATTCAATCCTCAGCACCACATAAAAAATAAATGAGTGAAATAAAGGTATTATGTCCAACTATAAAATAAATGTCAAAAAATAAAATAAGTTAAAAAAAGTTTAGTGTGAATCAACATCTCAGTAAGAGTTCTTGGGAGCCAACTGGCTAGTTTTCATCTACCTCTTTCAAAACACCTTCAATCTAATAAATAGTCTATTCATTAATTATAGGACTTAGGATAATTTTTTTCCGTTATAATTGCAAAATGAATGAAGGGTTGAAGACTGTGGCCACAGTAGCTGTGACTTTTGAGTTTCTTTTATCAAAGTCATCAAATCTTCAGAAAACTGATTATTTTTCCCAGATTCACACAAGAATGTCTAGAGTCAGACTACAGATTTCTCCTCCTGCTCTTCCTCTCCTTTCCCCTCATCCCCCGTCTCTTTCTACTCTTCCTGTCCAGGGCCTCACATATTCTGCCACTGAGCTACATCCCCAGTCCCCAAATTTATTAATTTAAGATGGTGAAATAATTCCTTAAAAAATAATTCAGTATAGCTTGGGTAGGTTGATAGTCATGCTTTTTCACTGGAGAAAAATTGACCATGAGCTATTCTGGGTACCTCATCTTCTGCTTAATGCTGAAAATACTGTTTCGTTCCAAGTTCACTTAATTCTGATTACATCATCCTTTTCTCATGTTTTCAGCACCCATACAAACACATTTCAGAGTTCTCTACTTTCCTTTTTTTTTTTAATTTTTTTTTTAGAGAGAGAGAGAGAATTCCAATATTTATTTTTCAGTTTTTGGCAGACACAACATCTTTGTTTGTATGTGGTGCTGAGGACCGAACCCAGGCCGCACGCATGCCAGGAGAGCGTGCCACCGCTTGAGCCACATCCCCTGCCCCTCTACTTTCCTTTTGAGGATTACTAATACTCTCTCTCTCTTTTTTTTTTTTTTGGCCAATCTTATCTATTCCAGTGAATCTTTTCTTCTGTGGGAATGATGACCAAATTTTGGTTTTCTACATGTGAAGCTGCTAAAAATTCGATTTTTTGCATATGAAGCTTCAAATAACTTTAAATGATTTTTTAGTACTTTTGTCATCTCACAGTGCTGTATTTTGGGGAGTTACTCATGCTGTGGTGGGTGGTGCATTAATCAAGATTTCTGAGTTCTATACTTACTTTTGTCTTGTAATTCTCAGAACCTTGAACAAGTAAAGGCAGCTCTTTCTACCACACCCTTTATATCCGTGATTTTTAAACTTTAGTGCATAAGAATCATCTGGAATCTTCTTAGAAATGTAGATGTCTAGTCCCTACTATTGGAGATTCTGGTTCAATAGGGCTGAGTTTGGGTCCACTAGTTAACTAACATTGATACAACATCAAGAAAAACTGCCTTTAGCCTTTTTTTTTTTCAACCTGTAGTATAAAATTTTTTTATTGTTTATCTCTCAGTGAAGTTGGTAAGGAGTAATTAATATTTCAAAATACAGTTTTAGAACTGGCTCTTCAACTAATGTGTGAGTTGTCATATTTACATATCATTATGGTACTTGCCAGATTGAGAATGATTAGTATGAATTTAATATAGACATAGCCTCCAAGGAGTGTTTCTTGGATCTCATAATAGCGCATATGTTAGGCATATATTCATAGTATGTAGTTAGATCAAAATGTGTTGCTTATTGGTTGTATAATTTTGTTAATCATGACAGATTTTTTAATCACTAATAAAAAATGTAAGATGTTTCTAAATATCTGTTATCTGGAGACCTATTGTATCACTTTATGAAACTTCTTATGGAATATTTCAAACAGACATTAGAGAGAATGGTGTTTGAATATCTGTTGCTACATAGCTACTTCCTCAAAATTTGTGACTTAAAGTAACAACTAGGGGCTGGGGTTGAGGCTCAGTGGTAGAATGCTTGCCTAGCATGCTTAAGACAGTGGGTTCAATCCTTAGCACCACATAAATGTAAAATAAAGATATTGTATCCACCTAAAACTTAACAATAAATATTTTTAAAAAATAAAGTAACAACCATTTAATTATCTTTCAAGATAGAGTGGCCCTTAGCTCCACATGAGGTACTGGAGTTAGAGAAGTACACCAGACTTTCTTCATAGACCTCTGGCACCTCATTAGGATAGCTTGAATTGATTGGGGGTTAGCTAAAACCTCTTAACTGAGGCCTTGGTTCTCCACGTGGTCTCAGGGTCATTTCTACATGTGGCCTCTCCAGATAGTCTTTCCAACAAGAGGGTTAGATTTTTTTAATTTGGTGTCTTAGGAGTGCAAAAGTGGAAGCTGCTAGGTCTTCAAAAGAGCAAGTCACAGGTCTAAGCCCATATTAAATGAAAATTCTAAGAGAAATTCATCAGGGGCCACTACTGTAACCAGCTACCACATACAGAAAAATAAATTTCCATATACCCACCCTAGCTCTTAAAATGATCAATTTATGGCTAATCTTGTTTGATTGAAACCCTCACCTGTCTGCATTATTTTGAAGCAAATCCTCCCAGACATTATAGCATTTAAATGTTTCATTTAGGTCTCTTAAGTAATTCTGGTCAATTTCCAGTCATCTCATAAAGTCTTTATTTTTAAAATCCTATCTACTTCTCCACCTATGAAGTTATCACTGTTCTGATTTTTATCAACATAGTCAGTTTTGCATATTGCAGAACTGCATATAAATGGAATCCTACTGTGTGTGCCTTTGTTTCTAGTTTGTTTCACTCAGCATGTTTTTGAGATGTATTTATTTATGTGTAGTAGTCATTCCTTATAATTACTGAGTGATATGTTATTGTGTGGATCCATTCTCTCTCTTTAATTTTGTTGTTGTTACTGGTTTAGTACTTTACCACTGAACTACACCCCCACCCTTTATATTTCTCTCTCTCTTTTTTTTTCTTTTAGTTGTAGATCTACATAATACCTTTATTTTATTTATTTATTTTTATGCGGTGCTAAGGATCGAACCCAGTACTTCACACTTGTGAGGCAAGCGCTCTATTACTGAGCTACAACCTCAGCCCCTAAATTTCTCTTATTTTGAGACTGATTCTCCCTGAGTTGTTGAGGCTGGCTTTGAACTTGGGATTCTCCTGCCCCAGCCTCTAGAGTCACTGGGATTACAGGCATATGCCACTGTGCCAATTTATCTAATGTTTAAAAACTGGGTTGTTCACCTTATAGGTGTTAGTACAGTCTAGGTTTTGCTTATTAACCTGTTCTTCCATCTTTTGAGTTTACTGGAAATTATGTTCACTGGCTACATCAAATTCATTTATCATCATTGTCTAGATCTGTTAATTGGTCAGGAGTTGCAAAATAGTGATCTTTTAATTTTTATTTATTTATTTTTTATTGTGATGCTAGGGATTGAACCTAGGGTGTTGTGTGTGTGAGTCAAGCACTCCACTCCACCAGCTGAGCTGTATCACCAGCCCGTGATCTTTTAATTTATGAGTTGGAATAATTTTGTAAAGAAAGTTCTTATCGGGGCTGGGGATGTGGCTCAAGCGGTAGCGCGCTCGCCTGGAGTGCGTGCGGCCCGGGTTCAATCCTCAGCACCACATACAAATGAAGATGTTGTGTCCTCCGAGAACTAAGAAATAAATAAATATTAAAGATTCTCTCTCTGTCCCCCCCCCTTCTCTCTTTAAAAAAAAAAAAAAGTTCTTATCATTATCTATGTGGTCATCCTGAATAAAGTTTGTATAGGAAAGGCAGGATAAATGCTAATTTCTAGTTTTGAAAGTTGGTTACCTAGCATCATTCGAATATTTAAAATATTTGGTGTGTTTTAGTCTTTTGAGGTTGTCCTTATTGATGCTCACAGTACTCCTTTTTTGGTTAGTAGGAGCTTCTACAAGTTGTCTCTTGAATCCTTTTGATATGACCCTTTTAGTCTTGGAGAGCTGCTTTGCTTCTCAGTATGACAGTGTGTTTCTGCCAAGGTCTCGGCTTGGCACCAGAATCACGAGCCACCACACACCTTTGTAGGTTCAAACAGCAATTCTTTATTCCCGCTCTCACACCGCCTCCACACAGGTCCAGGGGCAATCCCAATCTCCCGCACAATTCAAGTCCTAAATACTTTCTTTCCACGAGAACTCAGGCAGCAGGCACTCAGGCAGCAGGCACGCCCTACTCCCAGCAGGAATAATCTTCAACCTCCAACTTCCCTAAAACTCCTATTGTCACGCCCTAAACCCAAGGACGGGGACACTTCCTGCAAGATACATCCTAATCCTGGATCCACCCTGGTCATTGAGCAGGGTCATCTTTCTCAAACACACAAGCAAGGTCGCAGCAAATTTCCAAGGCAAGTCCATTTAACATGGGGTACGCTGGCAAAGATTTCGATGCGTCATTCCTACTTGGTAATGGCCCTCAGCATGTTTCAATCTAGTCTTGTTCATTTCCTGACCCAGACTTGGCGACAGCCTTTTCTTTAAGGAACACTAGTTCCTTTTAGTGGAAAGTAGTATTTAAAGACTGTGAACTGAGTACTAGAAGTACTCATACTGCTGGGTTGGTTGTCATTTAAGATAAAATATATCTTATGTATAAATACATATGGCTTGGTATATAGCTCATTGGTAGATAGCTTGCCTAGCATATGCAAGGCCCTATGTTCAATCCCCAGCAACTGTGAAAACAAACAAAAAACCCAAAACATTCATACTAAAACTTTCTGTTTTATAACACTTTTTAGTTAAATTTATTTCAATTGGTACTTAAAACATAAAAGTTGTATATATTAATGGTATAACATTTTAGTATCACCAAAAAATGAGTTGTTATTTAAAAAAATGTTTAAACAAAAGTAATTTTGATTAGAGTACATTTAGAATCCCAATTTCTTTTGTATAATTGATGTTTTTGAAACATACCCTCTAAAAATATTATTCAGAAAAAAGAAGTCCATTTGGAATAGATCAAAATGGTCTGTTCTTTCTTTCTTTCTTTATTAGTTGTAGATAGACACAATACCTTTATTTTATTTATTTATTTTTTATGTAGTGTTGAGGATCAAACCCAGTGCATCACAACATGCTAGGCGAGTGCTCTACCACAAAGACATAATCTCTGGCTCACTTTATTAATTCTTAAACATATATGGGCTGGTGATGTGACTCAAGTGGTAGCGCGCTCCCTGGCATTTGTGCGGCCCGGGTTCGATCCTCAGCACCGCATACAAACAAAGATATGGTGTCTGCCGAAAACTAAAAAATAAATATTAAAAATTTTAAAAAAATCATTATATTTAACAAAAATTTTAACTGATAACACAAAAATATTAAAGTTGTACATATAATGGATTACTGTGTAATGTTGGATGCACTTATGCATGGGTAGTGTTTTAATCAGGTTAAACATATTTATTTCCTCATTTTATCAATTCTTGGTAATGAAAACTCAAAATCCTTTCTTCTAGCTTTTGAAATGTACAGTATATACTGTTCAGTAGTGCTCCAGAGCTTCTTGCTCCTATTTAACTGTAACTTAGGACCCATTGACTTTACCTATCATTCCCTTGTAGTAAAACTTTCAGTTCAAATACAAAACTACTACTTTTCTATTTCTTCCTTGATCTCTTCTTTTTCCCAGGCCAAAACTCCCAGTTTCCAATGATGATAACATAATTACTAATTTGGTTTACCCCATAAAACATGTATATACAGTCTCAGAAAAATTATCAACACTAAAGAAAACAGCCGGATGCGGTGGCGCACACCTATAATCCCAGAGGCTTGGGAGGCTGAGACAGGAGAATTGTGAGTTCAAAGCTAGCGTCAGCAATTGCGAGGTACTAAGCGACTCAATGAGACCCTATCTCTAAATAAACCTCAAAACAATACTGGGGATGTGGCTTAGGGGTCTAGTGCCCCGGAGTTCAATCCCTGGTACCAAAACCCCCTCAAAAAAAGCAGTTTAAGATTTTCTTTTGTTTGGTTGGTTTGTTTTTCTGTTTTCAAGGTATAGCTTACTGTAGGTATAGTTAGTTTATAGTGTTTTAAAAATCACTTAGTTCCTTTCTGTATGATTATGCCTTCAAGTTGATTTGCATATTTGTTACATTTTTTTCTTTTGATTCTTACCGTTTTGAAATTTGAAATTTAAAATTTGGTTTTAAAATTTTAAGTTTAAAACTTCTCACTTTTTTAGATAAATGGGAGCATAACTTATATCTCTACCTCTGTGCCAAGTTTGAAATGTATTGCAGTTATGGGTGAGAATATTTATTAGAACCTTTGTAGCTAGTGGTGAATATAGAGGTAGACAACTAATAAGAATGTACTTTAGTTGTTTCTCAATAACATGAGAATGAAAACCATTTAACTGTAGTACTTACTACAGTTGGGATTCCTTGAGTTTCATTTCTATCAGTGTTCTTAGTCAAAACTTTTTTCTCTTAGACTTCAGACTTTCCAGTTCTTGATCCCAGCTGGACTGCTCAAGAAGAAATGGCTCTTTTAGAAGCTGTGATGGACTGTGGCTTTGGAAATTGGTAAGATCTTGGTATTAAGAGTGGTCCTTCCCTAGTGGGCTCAGAGAAGAAGTCACTGTTGAAGGGTGAAGGGAGGAGCTTCAAAAAGAGGAAAACTATGCTGCTCTCCTATTGATTCAGGACTCAGAGACAAGTTCTCTTCCTCTTTGCACATTATTTTCCAGGCCTGAAATGCTTCACAGGAATGTGGGATGTTTAGTGGTCCATGACTGAGCAGCTCTAAAAGGCTACTTTGGAAATATCAACACTGGGAAGGTTTGTTGTTCCTTTCTGAATAGTGGAAAAGTTTTACACTTATTAGTTATTGCTCCCTTATGATTTATTTTTATTGGCTATAGATGCCCATGTTATTTAAGTGAGTCAGACTTGAGGTAGATGATCATAGCTTATGAAATTCAAGTCATCCTAATAGCACTCTTTGGTTTTTGCTGTCAAACTGCTTTAGTCCAAGCTGGGCAGAACTGAATTGCATTCACTACTGTTTTGCCCTAAGTAAGCACTTACTTAAAAATACCATCACTTGCTGGGCATGGTAACACACTCCTGTAATCTCAGTAGCTCAGAAAACTGAGGCAGGAGGATTGTGAGTTCAGACCCAGCCTCAGCAACTTAGCAATACCCTGTCCCTAAAACATTTTTTAAAAGCTGGGGATGTGGCTCAGTGGTTAAGTAAATGCCCCTGGGTTCAATCCCTGGTGCCCCCAAACCCCACCACTTTCACTTTTTACCTTTTGAGAGGTCTTTCATATCATTGATTTTGTTTTGTGAACCAGATAGCATATGCATTATTAACTATATTTTGTTTCTGAAGAATCTGAAGCTTAGTTAAAACTATTTTTTATTATCATATGGCTTATTAATGAAGGACTCTTAACTAGATCTTCCCTATCCTGACTTGCTAGTATATATAATTTTTCCTGGTATTCATCAGAATAATCCATGCTGCCTCCCTATGTCTAGGGTCCTGAAGAAGGAGCCCTGAGTTCAATTCATTTATTCAACATTAAGCATCATAAAATATTTTGTACTGTGGACAATACCAAAGAAGATAAAAAAGTGATCACTTGTGAGGAGTTTACTAGTCATCTTTGGCCTAGGTTTTCAGTTTTTGCTTGCCATTCTAATTCTAAAATGGGCTAAACCTTTCCCCCTTGTCCTCCTTCCCTCTTAATAAAGGCCACAAAAAAGACTAGCACCTCTCTAGGGCTGGGAATATAACTCAATGGTTGCGTGCTTGTGGGAGGCTCTGGGTTTGATCTTCAACACTACATGCACACAGAACAGACTTGCTTCTCTGTTCACTGTGGGTAAGACACTAAGGTTGGTGGTGAGGGCGCTAGAGCTAAGAATTAAGATATGTATCTTGCCTTCAAGAAACTTGTAGTCTAGTAGAAGAATCAAAACTGTATATATAGATGATTGAAGTACACAAAACAGATCATAATGATGCTTAGAAGCAGGAAGTGAAGTGCTCTGGTGAGGCACTAGGGAAGTACTCTGGAAGAGTGAGCTTGAGGAGGACACTTTGAGAGATTTTACTATCATCAGAAGTCTATAAATTTTGGCTTTGTCACGTAGGAGCTTTATATTCTTGAGCAGGTTTATTAATCTCTTTGAGTTTTATTTTTTCTTCTCTGAAGTTGAGATGATAATAATAATATACCACAGAGTTCATACTAGGAATAATTTAAATAATTTTATGAATTTCCTAGCTCAATGTCTGGCATATTGTAGGAGCTCTAGTTGAGAAATGTTTGTTCGTGTGAAGTGTTTTGTATATTGTAAAACATTATGCAAAAATAAAATATACTTGAGTACATTGTGCATGTTCTTATAATGCTATAAATAATAGTGGCTTATTATTTATAGCATCCCTGGGGTCTAGCTCAGAAGGAAATTTACAGATTATTCTAGTCATCTTTCTCGTGGCAAGAAAGGACTTCTTAGTTATTGTTTCTACATCTTTAAGTACTAGGATTTAGAACATCAGATTAAACTAAGATTAGGCTTATGTTCTTCTCATAGTTCAGCTGATATCTCCATGATATCTGTTTGGAGGTATTAGATTATTGATGCTATATGGATTTACTTAAACATGGAAAGAAGAAATCATGCTTTTAGAATTATGTATACATGGAAAAATTACTCCCCTTCCTTTTTTTGCCCACACTTCTCTAGGCAGGATGTAGCAAATCAGATGTGCACCAAGACCAAGGAGGAGTGTGAGAAACACTACATGAAGCATTTCATCAATAATCCTCTGTTTGCATCTACCCTGCTAAACCTGAAACAAGCAGAGGAGGCAAAAACTGCTGATACAGCCATTCCATTTCACTGTAAGTTCCTCCCTAATTTGGTAAGAGATACTTAGTTCATTTTGGAACCCTATTTCAGTTGCAGATAAATAATGGTTTGATGACTTGAATAGATAAAGAGCTTATGGAAAATAGGAGGAGTTGGAATGAAGTTTTTGAGAGTTAGGGTTATCAATGGCAAGAAGGAGTCAGTTTTATAATGGACATCTGGATCCTTTAAGCCAACATGTAATTCTACCCATTCAGAGTGAATATATCAGTTAACTTTAATGCATGTTTCTATAGATGAAGTGTCAAAAAGGGATCAACCTGTCCATGCTTTTATGAGTACAGGCCCTGTAATCCAAGGGTTTGTCATCATAGATAGAAGTTGCTTAACAGGGTCCAGTATTATCTTATTATCATTAATTGCCCCAATGTCCAAGGAGCAGTTTGTTATTTTGTTTACTTAAGGTTGTGGCAGTGAAGGCAAACATTTTAATCTTATG